GAGAACCCCCAAATCCCATTCCTGGCTGGCCCCACCCACCCATCCCCTCCCCTCCCAGGAGTCCCCAAAAGGACAGTTTTGGATGCAGGTAAGTGGGATGTGCACATAGGCTTGGGGAGGGTGAAAAACGGGCCTACCAGAAGTTCGGGAAGGCCAGAAATGGGACTGTTTCTAGCCTCTAGAGGGTCTTCAGAACCTGGGGAGGCCATTTTTGCCTTCCTGGAGGCTTGAGGAAAGCCTCCGTAGCCCGGGGAGGGAAAAACACACACACACCCAGCCATGGTGCAGGATGCCGACTAGGCCACACCCACTATGGTCATGCCCACCCAGCAACCGGGCAGAGAATCCCTTGTTAAAATTTTTGAAGCCCACCCCAGCTCTGAGGTTTCCTCGTGGTAACACCTAAGACAGATGGCTAGCACAGAGAGCTGGAAATTAAGCTGCTCCAAACAGCCAATGAAGCAGTGATTGTGGTGGCAGATCATGTGCCAGGATGAAGGCTTTGCCCAGGCCATAATCCAATTCAATATACCACTCATCTTAATCTGCCAATGATCTACTATTTCTGCCAATGATCTGCTAATTCTCCAAAATACAGTTCCAGTTTTATTTTTATTTTTCGTTCCAGAGATTGTTGTTCTTGTGACTGACATAGGACCTACCATTTCACAAATCATCACATTTTAGGTGGTTGTTGTCTTTGATCATTTCCTCCAAGCTTGCCTCATATTTTCATAAATGATTCTTCTACCTCTTTCCATTATAAAATCAGCTCAGATCTTACCAATGCTCAAACATTAATCCTGAATACATGAGTTCAAACCCATTTTGCTATCCCTATTCCCAAAGGAACACAGGAGCTGCTGGTTGAATTATGTGTCCTTTTTCCTAATCTCATAATTATTTGATATGACCAATAGCAGCTTTCCAGGAGGTCCTTCATATTTAAATATACTCAATTATTTATTTTCATACCATTCTTCAAATGTATTCCTATAATGTTACAATATTTCCTATGGCTTTTTGAATATTTAAAATTTTAAATGTGAAATGAAGTGTACTTTAGTGGCCTTTCCCTATTATTGCCTTATGCTGGACTTTCTATCATGCCCAACTAACATTTGAAGTCCAACACAAGTAGAGTAGATTGTTCTATATGTTAGTGTGATATTTCTTTCTTAAATACTATGAAACATTCAGAAGAACTTTCCTGGGGTCACAACGGACAAATGGAATGCCTTGAATGTCCACTTCTTCTTACTTCGTGTTTAGGATAGTAACATTTTAGCTTCAGGGTTGGGACTCAGAAAAAGTATTTAACAGTTAAGCTAATATCTGTGGGAAAGGTAATGCATCTCATGGGTTGGTTTGCATATGTGTGTTTGAGTACTTGGGTCCAGTGGTGGGATCCTGCCAATTTAACAACCGGTTCAGTGATCACTCCACGCGCATCACCAGTTTTAACAAAACATACCTTCCACGTTACTTCTGGGGAGTAGCACAGCTGTGGCATGGCAATCCACTCTGCCATGCAAATCAGCTGAGAGGATATAGGTAAGTAAAGCGGAGGGACAGGTGAGCGGGCTAGCCTGATTGTCGGAGCGAACTGGTTCGCTCCCCAACTGTTCGTCAAAGCTACTGGTTCATCTGAACTGCTACAAACTGGCTGAATTTCACCCATCTTTGGGTCTATGGCTGAGTGTTATGAACCAAAGTAATGACACAATTCTTTGGGTCAAATTCAAAACTAAAGTTATTTTGCACCATTAGAGAAGTGATTTGTGATTATCAAAAGATGACAATCTTCGTGAACTTGCTTTAACTTGGGTTTTACTTTGTGATTGGAAACAGAAATGGTCAATTAATTGTATGACTAAACATGTACAAATTCAAATGATATCCCTGCAGTTTAATTCTATATGATGCTTGATTGGGCGTAGTAGGAAGTCTAAAGAA